GGCGCCAGGCGGCCCGGGCGCGGGCGCGCGGGGCGGGGCCTGCACGGAGGCGGGCGCAGAGCGCAACCGATGTGCTGCCCGACCAATAGGTGTGCCCATACGCCGCCCGCCCCGCCCCTGCGGGCTAGACAATGGGGGAAGACTGGGCCCCCGGGTTCGGCAGGGCTCGCGAAGGTACTCTCGCCGAGCATGCGCTGCGGTGTGGGGCCTGCCGGGACTTGTAGTCCTTGAGCCAGGCCTCCTGCGTGGGCGGCTGGGGACGAGCTTTGGAGGGGGCCGGCTAGTGTTCCCGAACTTGGAGGAGGCGTTTTCCTTCCTCCAACGAGGAGCGACGTGCTTACTCGGGTAATGAGGCAGACCCGTCCCGAAAGCCAGGAGAGTTCTGACTGGGGCAATTCCCTGACCCCCGCAGCCTCAGTTTCCCCATCTACGCTATGGTCTAGTGATTGCCAAGTTATATTTACAGTTTCACGGGACACCGCTTTGTACCCCAGTGGGCCAGAACACCTCCCCCACCATGCTTTTACCCTGGCTGGGTGGTCAGTCAGGAATGCCCTCCTCAGCGCCAAGCCCCTGGGGAACTCCTACACATCCTTCAGCATCCAAACTCCAAGGCTACGTGTGGCAGCACCGGATCCTTAGGAGGGCCATCAGGTAAAGACAGGGGCAGGTAAGTAAGAGGCCCTTCCTCAGGAAGTGACATTTGGGACGATCCTGAGATTGGATTTGGGCTGTTCCGAGATGGGGGAAGGGCCTCCCCTGCTCAGGGAACAGTGTATAAACAAAGCTGCACCCCGCCTCCACTCTCAGAGGGACAATCGGCCTGTCCCCACCCACCTCCCAGGCCGCCTTTTCTCATCTGGACGATGGCCTCAAGGCTGAACCTTTCCTTCCAAGGCTGAGGATCATAGGCTGCCCGGGGCTCAGGGCTGGGCAGAACGGAGGAGTTCCCAGAAGCCCCAGTGGGGCAGGTGGACCCGGCCCCAACCCCAGCAGCCTGACTTTTGACCCTGAGGTAGCTGCCAAGCAACAGGGGCCTGGCCATCTCCGCCCCCCCCCCCCCCCCCCGCACCGCTCCCCGCCCGCCCACGCCCTTGGGGCTGCATCTGGAAGAGGAGCTGGTGGGGGAGCAGCGAGGTGATCAGAACAACCAATCTTAGGAGCACCTACTCTGGTAGGCACTATTCCCAAGCCTTTCCTAGTTTCAAATGACTTCACACTCTCAACTTACGGGTGAGGGCGGAGGAAGCCGTATTCCCCACTTTACAGTTGAGGAAGCTAAGATAGATGGGCAAAGGCCAGGGGAGAGCTTTGACCCGAGCTGTGGGCAGAGCTGGCTGGACAGAAGGGTCAGATCCCTCTGGCCACTGCCCATCCCACCCCCAACACAGGCAGCTCAGGCAACTCAGAGGCCTGGGTTCTGGTCCCTGCCACCCTGCCACTGGCTGCGTGATAAGCCCTGAGCCCCAGTTGCCTCCTCTGCAAAACGAGAGCCTCACAAAGGGAAGCGTTGTCAATTTACAACCCCGGCATCATCACTTACAAGCTGTGTGGCCTGGAGCCAGTTACTGAAGCTCTCTGTGCCTGTTTCCTCACCTGTGAAAATGTGGAGACTATTAGTACCTACCTCAAAGGGTTGTTGTGAAGATGAATTGAATTAGGACTTGTAAAGCCCTTAGAAAGCTCCAGGCAGACAGGAAGAGCCATGTTGAGTGTTAGCAGTTCAGAGAGTTCTTGCTAATTGCTATCTGAGCTCTTCCCCTCTATCACCCTGGGCAAGTCCCTGCCCTCCTCAGTCTCCATCTGTCTGTCTTTGAAAGGGGACTTAGTCATCAGGCAGTATAGCAGCCCTGCCTCCCCACCACACCCCCAGCTCACAATTGCAGGGGGTGGGGGACCGGGCTGAGTGGAAACCGTGACCACCTTGTACCATGATGGGAGACGCACGGGGGCTGTGGGAGCCCAGAAGTGGCATCTGGCCCAAGGAGGTGTCCTGGAGGGAGGGGGAAATTCAAGCTTACCTGTAATGCATGAGGGGTTTCACAGGAAGAGAGACCTGGGGGTGGACAGAGAAGGGTCCCATGGCAAGGAGGCGTTCGTGGTGTCAGAACTCACCCCCATGCTTGTTAACAATGCAGATTCTAGGTCCCCCAGATGTGAATGCCCCTGGAGTGAGCCCCCAGAATGTGGATTTTAAAACAGCCCTTTCTCGGGTGACTCAAGCCCAGCTTGGCCTCATCTGATCAGTTTGAAGGGGGTTAAATGGGTACACGGAAGTACAAACGGGTAAACCGAGACTTGGGCAGACTTGCCCAGCCCATGAATGGCACCGGAGAAGGTACCATCCCAGGCTGGGAGGGTCTGGGGCACTAATGACTCTGTCTCTCCCCTCCCCCAAGAGCCTGGTTGGGAACAGGCCTGTGATTACTACAATAGCCCAAGGGAATAGGGCCAGGCCACTAGGCTCATCACTTGATGCAGGAAACAGGCTCAGTGGAGCCCAGGCAAGGGCTTGAGCACAGGATCTTCAATGATCTCAGGCACCCCCATACCTTCCTGGGAGCACTGAAGGGAAAGCAGTTTCCTCCTTTGGATCTCCCAGCTTCGGGTCAACCTCAGGCCAGGGGTGGATTGCTCCCTTCTAGGCATTTCCTGGGTGGGGTGGCCTCTCCCTTCTCCCGCCTCCTCCTAGGGCTCCTCCAGGGCACTCAGCTCTAAAATGAGACTCCGGTCTGGCTTCAAACCCCAAGACATCTTGCTAACTGGATGACCCCAGGTAAGACACTTGTCCACCTTGGGCCTCAGTTTCCTCCTCTGTAAAATAGACTGTGGACTAAATGAGATGATTCAAAGTAGGAGTCAAGCATGGGGCAGGTTCTATACCTAGTGAGCCACCTGTTTTTAGGACTCTCCCTAGGACCCGCTGGCTGCCTCACTGTTCTTCAAATGTGCTGGATGTGCTTCTGCCTCAGGACCTTTGCAGTTACTGATTCCTTGCCTGGAACACTTTGCCCCCAGGTTTTCACTTAGCCAAACCCCTCACAAACAAGCCAGAAGTAAGTTACTTTTAACTTAAATTATATTTGCTCAAAGAAGCCTATTTCCCTTACTCCTGATGCCCTTCTCTGCCTGATTCTTCTGATGACCTCTTCCCACTCACTACCTATTTGACTTCTTTATGTGGATATTGTCTCTCCAGCTTGAGAATGAGCTCCCTAATACGGTCTTGGTGGTTTTTAATGCCATTGTTCATTGCTGTGTCCCCAGCACCCATAACAGTGCCTGGCACACAGTAGGTATTTAACACATTAAAACATACATATTTAGGGGCGCCTGGGTGGCGCAGTCGGTTAAGCGTCCGACTTCAACCAGGTCACGATCTCGTGGTCCGGGAGTTCGAGCCCCGCGTCAGGCTCTGGGCTGATGGCTCAGAGCCTGGAGCCTGTTTTCCGATTCTGTGTCTCCCTCTCTCTCTGCCCCTCCCCCGTTCATGCTCTGTCTCTCTCTGTCCCAAAAAAATAAATAAATGTTAATAAATAAATAAATAAATAAATAAATAAATAAATAAATAAAAAATAAAACATACATATTTAAAAAGATCTGAGGGGGCGCCTGGGTGGCTCAGTCGGTTGAGCGACTGACTTCGGCTCAGGTCACGATTTCACAGTTTGTGAGTTCGAGCCCCGCGTCAGGCTCTGTGCTGACAGCTGGGAGCCTGGAGCCTGCTTCAGATTCTGTGTCTCCCTCTCTCTCTGCCCCTCCCCCACTCATGCTCTGTTTCTGTATCAGAAATAAACATTAAAAAAAATTTTGAAAAAAATAAATAAAAAGATCTGAAGCCATTAAGACAAAATGTTAATATGTGTGGTAGGTGCTCTTGTGGCTTCTCTGTTAGCTTAAGTATTTTTCAGTGTGTTTGAAATATTTTATTAAAAATATAAAACACAATGGGGCACCTGGGTGGCTCAGTCGGTTGAGTGTCTGACTTTGGCTCAGGTCATGATCTCGCAGTCGTGAGTGCAAGCCCCTCATCAGGTTCTGTGCTGATAGCTCAACTTAGAGCCTCCTTCTCTCTTTGCCTCTCCCCTGCTTGTGCTCTCTCTCTCTCAAAAATAAACATTAAAAAAATGTTTTTTAATATAAAACACAAATAATCATCATCCACATCGTTTAGGAGTCAAGTTCATAGGAAATGGTGGTGGACGGCATGTGGAGAAGCTGGTGGGTAACAGGGGGATCCCCGAGCCAGGCTGGCGTGCATCAAGGACTTCCTCAGAGGCAGACGCCCCAATAAATGCCATATCTGTGTTTTATCTGCTTGTATCTTTGCAGCCACGCTGGAGGGAGGTACAAAGGAAGATCCCACTTTACAGACAGTAAATGGAAGCTAAGGGTAGAGAAGTGACTTGCCCAAGGCCACCTAAGAAGGGAAGGAGGGAAGGGTGACATGGGAAAGCCCCAAAGGGAGGCAGAGTAGGGGCAGCGAGGGGGTGGGAGGAAAACCTGACTGAGGGAGGCAGGCCCTGCCTTCCAGGAGCTGGCCCAGATCCCGGCCGAGGCCACGACCCTCCTTCTGCTGCCCAAACCACACACGCAGCTTCTTCCTGGCTGCTTCCCCCGGGGGCCAGGCAGCCCTAGGATTCCTGGAGTGGAGTGTGGGCTGGGGGTGGGCAGGGCCTGGGGTGGAAGGAAATGAGGGAGAAAAGCGGGTGGGGAGTCGACTGGGAGGTCACTGGGGAGTCTGGGCCCAGGGGTAGGAGAGGAGTGAGCACCTCATCCTTCATGGTGAATGAAGCTGGCTCTCAGGGTGTTCTTAGGGTTTAGATAGGCAAGAGGCCGGTGGATGTGGGGGCCCTCAGTCCCCAGAAGGTGAACAGTGTGCTGGGCCTCAGTGAAAGAAAGGCCAGATAGGAACAATGGTGGAGCAGACCCAGCCTATCCTCATTTTACAAGGGAAGATGCGGGCTCAAAGAGAAGTGACTGGTCTCTAGACCTCCAGCCAGTGGTCCTTCTCTGGATACAGGACTCAGCCCTGATGCTCCTGACACTCCCCCTGAGCCTAGATCCTGAGTTGTGCTTTTTTTTCCAGCTCCTACTGGGCCATAGGATCTGGTGATTCAGGGGCACCCACCCCCTGCAGGGACTGTCAGGTTTGATGCTCCAGGTTGACACTGTCATAGGCCTATCTGTGCTTCATTCCTGTCTGTGGCCCCAAATTCTAATCCTGCCTCTGCTACTTCATTTTTCTAGGCCTCGGTTTACTCATCTGCAGAATGGGGGAAAATATTAATTGCTACCATTTATTAACACTGAGCATTTAGTCTGTGCCAGGCCCTGTAGTCGTTCATTTAGTCCTATGTCCATTGTACAAAGGAAGAAACCAAGATCAGAGAGGTTAAGTAATTTTCCCAAAATCACATAGCTAGTACGTAGCAGAGTTGATTTGGGCCCTGGCCCCAAGTAAGGTATTAAAGGTTGTGGTGAGAATAAATTGGGACAGCTTGTAAAGGGCTGCACTCACAATGAGAGTCCAGGAAGAGGGAGGAGTTGGGTCCTAGTGTCCCAGCCTGGAGTGGAAGTGCTGGGACCACACAGCACACTCTGGACTGTGAAGGAAGCCAGGGGTCTGGGGAGCCCGGAGGCAGCCCTGAGGAGACTGGATAGGGGGCCAGAGAAGGTAGCCTCCAGCGGAAGTTGCCCAAAGCAAAGGGTATTGGCACGTGCAAAGGTTCATGGGAACATACCCTGGTGGGTTGGGTCTCTCCTCCTCCACACACCAATTAACCCTGCCAAACAGGGCAGAAGCACTGAGGAACCTAAGTTCTTGCCTCTGGGGCCTTAGCTCCCCATCCAAGCCAAGGGACAGCTGTCCCCTGCTGCACTCTAAAGCACTGTCACCTAGATTCTGCTGCCACATTGTGGGCACAGGGAGAACTGCACCGGTGAGCACCCAGACACGTAGCTGGAGGACCCCTCACACCACCCAGTGGCTTCAACCCTGCCAGTAGGCCACAGCTCTTCAGTTTGGAGCCCCTTAATCTCTTG